CCCTTGAGGAATTGGTCATTGGAGGAAAGATTTTTTTTTCCCACTCTGGGGAAAATCACTTTGATAAACCTTTTCCTTACATACAAAGGCAAAGCCAAAATCCTATAAGAACAGTCAGAAAATCAGAGCAACACCACGTAATAAAAGCACACACACTGCGTGTCAAGTGCACACCTAAGCACTGTCCATCCATCACCCATTCACTCCACAGGCAATCCTATTTAACAGAAGAGAGAGCTGAGGCACAGAGTAGCTAAGCAACGTGCCCAAGGTCACACAGCAAGTGAGTGGCAGAGTCTGGACTCAAACCCAGAAGGCCTGGCTCCACAGCCTGCGGTCGGTATGAAGACACGCAGTCCTACCTTTCTAGCTCGATGTTGTAAAAGCCTCCACACTGTGGGAGCGGCATGCCAGGGGGTCACTACGTGTCTGGGGTCACTATATGTCCGGGGTCACTATATGTCTGGGGTCAGGAGCCTGGATCATCAGGGCAGGGGTCAAGGGCGCATCTCCTGGGACTTAGTAACCTGGCCCCTAGAAAATGGCAGCACACGGGGAAGCGAGAGCAGGGGCCGCGTGAACTCATCCGCCCACTAACCACGTGCTCCCCCTAGAAGTCCATGGCCAGTTCCAGCATTTGCAAACCCCAGGGACCAGGCAGCGAATATACCTGAGGGAGGAGGAGAGGTGACATGCAGTAGGGAGTGGCAGAGACTGCGGCAAAGGGCAAAGTCCAAACCTGCTCCACAGGGACCAGCACTTCTCAGCCACTGGCCGCCCGCGGGGCCAGGTGGTGAAGAGAAGTCCGGCTCCCACGTGCTGGCGACCCGTCCATATTTAGACCGTCGGCCTCTCTCCCCTGGTCTGCCGAGCTCTCCCCACATTCTCACCTGCCAACGTAACTCCTTGACTTCCGTGTCTACCAGGCACCCCCAGCCGTCAATGACAAGCGCCTCCCAAACGCATCGTCCTCCCAGGTGTCCTCCCCGGCACTGCCCTCGCCAGTCCCCCTTTGCCGGGGCCAAACACCTGGCTCACTACGCACAACGAGGCACTTACTCCGCGAAGCAAGGCGGGCACTCGCCTCCCGCAGCGGTCCCCGCGCAAGCGCGGAGACTCGGGCGCTAGGAGCCGCGTGGGCCACATCTTTGTCCCAGAGACGCGGCCCTACTTGGCCCAAGGCCACCCCCCTTGCAGACAGGAGCTCCGTGGGAAGCAGGTGCAGGCCATGCTGCCCACGCCGCGCCACCCCCTCTGTCCCTTTTTCAGTCTGCTCCTCTTTTGGCCGCAGGCTGTCACGGTCCCCGCCAGTCTTCACAGAGCCCTGCACCCCGACCCTGCTCGCAGCACCTCAGAGGCAGCCCGTGCCCCGCCGTCCTGTGCACTTGGCCGAGACCTGGCTGCCCTCCCGTCTCCCCGGCGCCCGGGTCTGTCCCTGAGCCGCCGCCTGCCCGCTGGCCGCTGGTCCAGGCTGT